ACTCGTGCTTGGATATTACATTTTTATAAACATTTGACAATCCTCAAAAATAAAATTTGTATAATTTTGTACAATCGTTCATCTAAGGATAAAACTTTATAAAGAAGTACAGCGGATACGTCGAATTGTTGGCCTCCGTTCTTTTATCGTCCAAGCGGGACTATGAAGAATTTAATTACAAGGAAAAGGCGATTACGCGGAGAGAGGCTGAAGCAAAGGGGCTGGAGAAACGTAACGGAATGAAACGGGACGGAACAGAAGCGAAAGGAAGAGTTGCGCGGCCGGAATAAAAAGTTGCTTCCCTGGGATTAACGATAATGACGATAATGAAGCCGAGTGTCACCGACGGCCTAGACTGTAGACGGACGATTATTGTTCAACGTCTGATGTCCTTGAGCCTTTTCTTCGCCACTGGTTCGCTTAGATGTTCCCCCTTTCTCCACTCCCATCTTCGATCCCGAGATGATGCCACTCTTTCTTCAGAGAAACGGAAGTCTCGACTCAGCTGTTTTTCTCCAAATATCCTTCGGTGAAAATACTCTCCAATGGTCTACGTGAATAGTTTCCGTCCTTCGTACGATTCTGGTGGTGATCTCTCATCTAAATTCTCGCGGTAGATGCTTTCTGGTTTATGAAATTGCACTTGCTCAATTCGTTTCGCACGATGATGTACAAAAAGCCGTACAAAGGTCGGTCAACTAGTGGTGACCACGGCGCACGGTGCGGCGCGCGAGACGTCACAAAGGACGATGCAAATCTGTTTCGAGAAAATTGAGTCTTTTGTAAAAAGCCAATTCCACTTCATGGCGGCTTAAATGTTCGACCGAACTCTCAAATCGATTCTACTTTTATTTATTTTTATCTGTTCGCTGTTTGCTATGTTTCTACAATTTCAATCAAATACCACGATGATAAATATACATCCGCTACCATAGACACACGTGGCTGGTATAAAACCATGCAAAAGTTTCCTCTCACGTATGCCTCTGTCCCTCGGTGCAACCGCGGGTCGAAAGTTTGGTTGCACTTACCACAGAGCAACTCTGCATGTCCAAATGTAAATTCCAGATTTTAACGTGTCCGCACCTGGTTTATTCTAATTACTTTGATATTTTTAGTATAGAAAAAAAAAATGAAAAGTGACATTAAGTACAGTGTTAGAAAAGTATTTTTCTGTAAAAGGACTCATCCAATTTTTGAATGGCATTTACATGCATTAAAATGTACATCGGTATACATTAAGCGTTGCACAGGAGTAATTGCTTGCAATTTGAGCTAAGTTAAAACGAACCAGTCTCAACTAGGAAAGGTTGTCGCCCTTCGAATGTAACTTGCATTTACTCAAGAGAAAACTTTTAACACAAGCCAAGGTGATCTGGAAACGGTCGTTCGAGCGTAAATTTTCTTTTCAAACTCTTTTCGGATTTGTTTCGAGAAAAATACGAAGACGGTTCGTCGAGGACTTTAAGTAAGCAATTGTAAGTAAATGAGGTGGTTCACGGCGCACTCGTCTCGGTTCTAACCCGAGATTTGTTGCGAAAAAAATGTAGGCGCCCGTGAAAGAGTGGCTCGCCCGGATTTAATTAAAAAATTTTTTTAAACGGATCGCCTACCCGACGCGACGTGAGGTGGTATGAATGCCAAAGCATTACGCTTTCTTTTAAATCGTAGTAGACCGTAGACATATTCGCCTGGTAATTTATCCGGCAACGTATGCACCAACAGAAAAATTCTGCTGCGAAAATTTCGAAAAATTCACTCATCGCTGCTATTAATATCAATCTGCATGAATTGTAATTAAACTAGAGCATTTATAACTGATATTTGGATTTGTATTAGTATAATAGTAAAGAATTTAAATACAAAAGTCATATAATAGTCAATATGAGCAGAAATAGAGTAAAGAAAATTATGAAAAGTGTTATCTTATTTCGTGAAAAAGAAAAGATTTAGTCGATCGAGTTAATTTACAATTTAAATATAAATAAAATATCAAGCAAACGTGAGTTTACAGTACATTGACTTAAAAAAGAGCTATCATCATTCTCATGCATTTTGTTCTGTGTAACAAATCTTCGTTAAAAAGTTTTTACTACCTATTGTCATTGCTACTGGCATGGACAGAATATAGTGGAAACAACATTACTGTTTTGACTTTCAATTTTACTCGAGGGTTTCAGCTATACTGAGCCTATGTTTGCAGTGGATTTACACGACCACCAATATGGACGATACCGCGGTTTATCGAGCCCGCGGATTTGTTAATTTAAAAGGTAATATCCGTGCTCAGCGCGGATGAAACACTACCGGCCTCTTTCTCGGTTTATACGACCGATAATCTATGATGTACCAGCTCGACCGTATCGCCGTGTTTGTTTCCTCCTTTCATTTTTTTGCCCGTGAAACCATGGGATTAAAATTCATTCGCGAGTATCGATTGAACATCGATCTATTTGCTGATTCTTTTTTTCATCGTTGTCTAGTGTATTCTGTATAGTGAAATAGAAAAAGCTTTTCATCGTTTTCCTTCTTAATCTGTGTAACTGATCTATATTTATTTTCTCTTTACCTTTATTTCATTCATTTCCATTTTGATCAATATCGATTTATCTATTGGTTCAACTTTTTCATTTCCTCCCGGATATACCCTATCAGAAAATCTCTTTTTATAGTATTTTTTTCTCAATCCAGGTATTAGATCCATTATATCAATGTATTAATTTCTCTTTTTATGCTTTTCAGTCGTCTTCGAACCATAAAATTGAAATTCATTCATGTATTTTGATTGATATTGATCTAACTGTTGATACAATTTTTTCATCTCCTGTTGGATATCTTTTATCGTGGGGCATACAAGCGTTTCTACAGTTTTCTTGGTAATCCATAGCAGTTCAATCCTCCTATTTTCTTTGTTTCTCTTTTATTCATTTTTGACGTATGAAATTGAAATTCACGTATCTTGATCAATCCTGAGTTATCCGCTGATATAACTTTTTCATTTCCTCCTGGGTATTCTTTATGGCGGAACGGAGGAACTTTTTTATAGTTTTTCTTCTTGTTTAAAGTTTCATCTGTATTGCTATAAACGCATCCGGCGACACGTTACGCGTCGTACTTTACTTAAAGTCCGACTATTCAGTGAGCGAACGAGTATTTATTGTCGACGGACGCGTAACGTTCCACGTTTCGACCAGAAACTTATCTCGGAACGAAGTTTACCGGCACTAGAATAAAGTTGCTCGTTTTCGAGGTTACGCCATATTGTTAACAATGAACTCAGAATCGCGATAGACAACCCCTCTCAGACAATGTTCTTGAGTTTACAGTACATTGACTTAAAAAAAAGCTATCATCATTCTCATGCATTTTGTTCTGTGTAACAAATCTTCGTTAAAAAGTTTTTACTACCTATTGTCATTGCTACTGGCATGGACAGAATATAGTGGAAACAACATTACTGTTTTGACTTTCAATTTTACTCGAGGGTTTCAGCTATACTGAGCCTATGTTTGCAGTGGATTTACACGACCACCAATATGGACGATACCGCGGTTTATCGAGCCCGCGGATTTGTTAATTTAAAAGGTAATATCCGTGCTCAGCGCGGATGAAACACTACCGGCCTCTTTCTCGGTTTATACGACCGATAATCTATGATGTACCAGCTCGACCGTATCGCCGTGTTTGTTTCCTCCTTTCATTTTTTTGCCCGTGAAACCATGGGATTAAAATTCATTCGCGAGTATCGATTGAACATCGATCTATTTGCTGATTCTTTTTTTCATCGTTGTCTAGTGTATTCTGTATAGTGAAATAGAAAAAGCTTTTCATCGTTTTCCTTCTTAATCTGTGTAACTGATCTATATTTATTTTCTCTTTACCTTTATTTCATTCATTTCCATTTTGATCAATATCGATTTATCTATTGGTTCAACTTTTTCATTTCCTCCCGGATATACCCTATCAGAAAATCTCTTTTTATAGTATTTTTTTCTCAATCCAGGTATTAGATCCATTATATCAATGTATTAATTTCTCTTTTTATGCTTTTCAGTCGTCTTCGAACCATAAAATTGAAATTCATTCATGTATTTTGATTGATATTGATCTAACTGTTGATACAATTTTTTCATCTCCTGTTGGATATCTTTTATCGTGGGGCATACAAGCGTTTCTACAGTTTTCTTGGTAATCCATAGCAGTTCAATCCTCCTATTTTCTTTGTTTCTCTTTTATTCATTTTTGACGTATGAAATTGAAATTCACGTATCTTGATCAATCCTGAGTTATCCGCTGATATAACTTTTTCATTTCCTCCTGGGTATTCTTTATGGCGGAACGGAGGAACTTTTTTATAGTTTTTCTTCTTGTTTAAAGTTTCATCTGTATTGCTATAAACGCATCCGGCGACACGTTACGCGTCGTACTTTACTTAAAGTCCGACTATTCAGTGAGCGAACGAGTATTTATTGTCGACGGACGCGTAACGTTCCACGTTTCGACCAGAAACTTATCTCGGAACGAAGTTTACCGGCACTAGAATAAAGTTGCTCGTTTTCGAGGTTACGCCATATTGTTAACAATGAACTCAGAATCGCGATAGACAACCCCTCTCAGACAATGTTCCCTCTCGTTTTTCAAACATTCTGCTCGTTTTCAAGTTCGAAGAAAGCAACAGACAACACCACTTGAACCATTCAATGTATTATTTGTACAGGCATAACACCACTTGAACCATTCAATTGTATTATTTGTACAATAATCGAGGATTCTTCGGCCCTCCTAAATGTAGAAATAACTGGACAAAGTATTCTGAATTGAACGTCTGTAGATAATAAGAGTAGTCTTTCATAGTATCTTGGAAACCTATGATGAATCAATTTTTGTAAGGGAAAAGTTGTTCATAATCAAGTTCTGAACAACATGTTAAGAAGTAATTGAGATCACAGAGGTCGATATCTACTCGTACATTTTCCGTTTGTTCTAAACTTAAAACCTACTTTCTGATCCTTCTGCCAGATGCACTGTCCCCTCTTTCCCAACACTCGGCAGATTAACTTCGCGTCCTGGCCGGGATTCACTTCGGTGTACTGTGGCATTTCCTCGAATTGCTGGATACCACGGCACACTGTAATCAGATAATTAAAAAAAATTAATCAAAGTGTTAAAGGAGTTAGTAGCACGAGTATCGAGTGCAAAAGAGCTTTACTCGCGTTGAAAAAAAAGTTTCTCGCATCAGGGGAAAAGGGATGGTCTTGTTTTGAAACGATGAGAAAGATAGAGAAGTATGAGAATAACGGAGTGAGTCGAGTCTCGTATAAGCGCGCCAGTTTATCCGGGTATTAAACCAGGCCGTTGCTCGTTAAAGTTGTTATTTAATTCGCAACTTTGGTAAATTCGTTTAACCCGCTCGATCCGGCTCCGGGATCCTTCTCACAGGTTATCATCTCTCGTTTCTCTGCCCCATTCTCGATAAATTCTATCAACGATATAATCACGTTGAAAACGACGGACGGACGCGTCGTTCTTAATTTCGACAACAAGATACTTTTTCAATTAGTCGCGTATCATCCGCTAAAACTCGTTACTTCCTCAAATGCTAAATTAAAGTCATTTTACTTTTATTGGAATAAGTTTGAAGTATTATTTATTTATATTTTATACTTTCTGATGCCGCGTACAATTTTGTAACAGATCTCGCTTAAGGTTGTTGGTTACTGTTCGTTTGATGTTCCGTTCGCAGTGAATAAATAAACGAATACATGGGGCGACGTGAAACTTCAACACGGCAGCTCGCTACGCGTCGAGTTGCGTTTCGAGTGGCACCGTTAAAAAATTCAATTTTTCACCGAGATGGAAATGATTAATAAAGCGCAGCTTTTTTCTGAGAGCGTGCGCGGTTACGCTAGCAGCTACGGAAATGACATTGCAAAATTAACAAACCGGCTACTGTGCGCTGTTTCGTTTTGTTTCATATTTTTTATACGCGCTGTACCCGATACATTGCACCGACGCGTAGAGAATGAAATTCAAGACAGGTTTTCACTCGAGAAATGTTTGTTGCGTGAACTGTTCGTAATTCTCTCATAAATTCGATCAGCACATTTCCAGAAAATTGTATACAGTAAAATGTTTCTATTTCATTATAAAAGTAAAATTGGCTTTATTTAAAAAAATGTTCGCATCTTAAAATCTCCAGTTGAATATAATTTGTATACATGATAATCTCTCTAAAAGAGCAAACTTCACTTACTTTGTCAAATAAACAGTTCAAGAAATGATTGCCGATTTAATTCTCAACGGCATTTTCATTTTCCCATATCTATCCAAGTAACTTAGAAACCGAACAAGCAGTATGCTGGCTGATTCCAGCATTGTCACGTAGTGTCGCTATTCCTGGGTGTTCCGAATATTGAAACTGTCCCCAGAGTGCTCGATTCAACGCCGAGAACAAACAGTTCTCAGCGCGGATTCTCGATAAGCTAGCGGCGGAGGTAAAATAATTTATAGCCGGTGATTCACACAGTCTACCGAGAGGGACACAAAGAGGAGCTCCGGGGGAGGCCAAAGTTACAGCGTAACTTGGGCCGAGAATTATGCGGTACGGTCTGAACCGGCCGACTTATTTTCAAACGACTGGCAGAGATAAAGCGGAATTCGCGGGAGTTATCCCAACGGTAGAGCGAGGGCTTATGAATTAATATCGCGGCCGTATCGAGAATACTTCGCGGGGAATATTTTAGCCGAGGAATATTCGGGCCGCATCGCTTCCCTAGTTCAGCATCGCTGGGAAGGTAATGTTGAAATAAAATCTAATATTCATCGTCATAACTCGGTGGCGGGGTGGAATCTCTGTTCAATTTGGGTCGATAAGATACAGGATGAGGGTGGAAAACAGGATAATCGACTATCGTTCGCTGGTTACGGGTAATAGCCGAGGAGTTTCGCAACAGGTCGGTCGAGAGGAGGAAATTCGAAGATTCCCGTTGTCGCACACGCTTCTTGTTCGTTTAATTGTGACTGAACGACTACTTTTATAAAACTTGAATCACAGCCTAGTTTACACGATGTATCACCCAATGTATTTGCTTGTCTTCTGGGATTCTAATATCCAATTACAGTTTCAATATCACTTACATCGCTATCAATAGATTATGGAAAGTAATGTTACCGGTTAGTACAGTAAGAAATAATAATATATGGTGAAGATGGCTAAATTCTGATTAATAACCGAATGGAAAAAGATCTTGACATTTTTCTTTCATTGCGCATGATACTTGACCAAATTACCAATTCTAGGGATGAAACATTGAGATCGATAGTTTATCTTCTCTGAGATTACCGAATAGTCAAAAAATAAAATCATGTCATTGTTTAATTCTAAAATTGATCAATGTATGATGTAAGTGCAAAGTGAAATGCTCTACATTTTTGAGAGAACGAAAAACATTGAAAATGTGGAAGAACATTGAATTATTAAAAGTCTATTACCCTAATATTTTACATTTTGCATGTTCATTTTTAAACTTTTTAATTTAATTAACTTTTTTAATTTCAATGTAGAATGGCTCGTATTGTTCGGATTAAATAATTGAATTGGTTCTTACAAATGCATGATTTTTATTTTCAATCTACCTGAAAATCAATATGACTTTGTTTCAAATTAATTTATCAAATCGATACTAATGCATTAGCCAACTGGCTACAGATATGTATTTCCTCCCCTCTATTATCCTCTTTGAATTCTCTTTGATCTCCTCTCTCTTCTATTCAACATGAACACGCTTTCGGAGGCTATACCCACATTACGGTTTTCCGTCTCGCTGGTTCATACTGATTGGCTTCTGAATCCTCCAATTATTAATCTCTCATCTGGTTTTACCAGATAGGAAAGCTAAACCGATCAGTTGCCGTATGATACATCGTTGCTACCAGAATTCGACTGTGCGTACTAATCGAGTTTGTCAGCTTCTACGAAGCTGTGTCTATCTCGAAACACACACATAACACTGTACATTATTAACGTTTCCTTCCTTTCTTGTTTTCTTATATCATTTTGTGATTGAATCAACTGTTGAATAAAAAAACAGAACAATATATCGTTTAATAAGAAACACTACAGCAGCTAGGAGGATATTACTAACACCTCCTCCGTGATGTAATAATAAATTTTTATTTTGATTTATATTAATGGCTGTAATCTAAACTACTTAAAATATATGTATATCTCACTTTTTATATTGCCTTTTTTTATGTTAGTTAGTCATAATGATATACTTTTCAGAACGTTTCCGTGTGTCACATTTACATATCGTATATTATGTATCGTAATTTAAAGTACGGTGGAAGACAAAGTTGTTTCGTTTCGTAGCATCGTTTGGGATAATCGCGGAGGGAATCGGTGCCAAATTGTTCTATTAATTTCCCGTGGCTTGCTCGAAAAAGTTACGCGGTTAATCTTATCGACAGGCTCTACGGTATCGATCGCGGGCTACGAGGGCAAAAAGCCGGAACCTTGTCTAGGAATGAACCATGTAATGCCGGCAATGCGAGCAATTTCACGCCGAGCGACTCTCCCTCTAGCAAGCCACGATTCGGTGTGTTCGATTGTGCCCACGGATTACGAAGCAATTACGCGGCCCCGTTTCCTACTCCCTGCCTCTCTTTTGTGTCCGACCAGTTAAATAGCTGACCTTTTCCCGACATCCACCAACGAATTCGTAATTTGTTTCTGTTTTCATGTAGCTCAAACCTTGTTTCACTGGCAAAAAGTAAGAAGCAAATCAATAATGAATTTTACTTAATGAATTACTCGTTTTCTTATGTGTTGCTTAGTCGAAAGTATGAAATCAACTAAAAATGTAATTGAACTCAAGGAAAAGGATAGAGTGCAGATCTCTATTTGTTGATAATTCATTTTCAATTCTGAAAAACAAACACATGTACTAATAATCCATGAAACTAATCCAGCTTACCTTGGAATATAATTGTAACAAGGAATCACCAGCGGATGTCCCGTTGCAGGGAAGTTGTAATTAATTATTGGCATTTGTCGCGGTAACGAGGCCATTATTCTGGCTAGCTTCTTACAAATATCTAGAAATATTTCACGGTGCACCTTCACGAACATCTAGCTCGGCGCGTACGTATTCAGATACCCACGACTAACTCGGTGAAAAAGAAAACAATTCTTAAAGAGAATATTTCTTGCCCTGTCTCGCGCTTCCAAACAATGTTCTTCTAATTTATTCTCCGGCTGGACAGCGTTCTAAATGTAACATTTTAAACAGATAGTATTCTCAGTTTCTCTTAAAAGTCGTCGTTAATAGTTTTGATGTGCACCTGTTTCTTCTATATTTTAACTCTACGAAGAAAAAGTTTTCTGTGTTTGATCTACAGAAAAAAGGGGTAAAAAGGAGATCAAAAGGTAGTCTAGCGACACACGTTTCAGTAAAGAAAAACAATTCTGCAAGACACGGGAAAGTACTTTTCAAAGTTTCGTGTATTTAAGATCTAGCCTAGCGTATATTCAACGTGTTTCCTAAGTAAACGACGTCCTGTGTAATGTAAAACAGGTACTGTCTACCGTTTATTTCTTAATTCGACTGTACCAAATAAAATAAAAAAAGGAAACTAAACTGTGAAAAGGTTCGCGACACGTGTTTCGCAGGTCTAGAAAAATTAACGACCTGTTGTTACCTCCGCCTTTCTGCTTGAACAGCGTCCAGGTATACTTTATTTGACTGGGAGGGAAAACGAATGGATATCTTAAGTGCTCTCTAAACGACCATTCGTATCGTGAGATTAAGCTTGAGAACGTGAATCGCGGAAGAGGTACTTCGTAGCTACGATTTTTTTATAAACAGCGATGGTAGTTAAATAACTAGATACGTATAAAATATAAATATGTAAAAGAGCGAGAGAGAGAGAGAGAGACCTAGAAACGCTTTAGTGCATATATGTACTTGTACATTGATCGGTCAGTACACACGGGACGATAATTTAAAAGAACAACGCGCTTTCGCAGCACTTCCGCTTCGACCTGTCGATCGGAACGAAAAAAGAGAACGGCGGGGGGGAGGGGGAAGGGAGAGTTACATCGCGCGAGGGATAACAAATGCGCTAGAG